GCCAGTCAAAACTACAGCCCAGCCAAATTGACACACAACCTTAACTACCAGTTATCTACTGCTGTAATAACAGAAATACCACATGTGGGTTGCTTTAATGAACAGCAGTTTATTTTCTCACAGTTTAAGAGGTTAATAAGTCTAAATTCAGGGTACCAACTCTCAGAAAAGGCTTTCTCACTCTGTCTGTTCTGAGAGAAGGTCCTCATCCGTTTTCTACTTTTGTTCCTTGGCTTCTTAGAGATCTTCACATGGCTTAGCATCTGTCCTCTCCCATCTTTGTTCTTTGTGATCTCAAAAGAGATTGACTTAGACACACCCCACACTAATACTGCTTCATTAACCTAACAAAGAAACCCATTCCCAAGTGGGATTTTAACCACAGGTTTAGGGGTTATGATTTACTACATATATGTTTTAGGAGACATAATTCAATCTATAACACTATAAAAAAAAATTGTTAATGATAAGTTAAATAAGTGAGAGATCAATCTAAAACTTGGTATGTTTATGTTTTAGTGTAAGGAATAGTAAAAGCCATAGGAAGGTCAAAGTGAAGGAAGTTGCCCAATGTTAAATGTTAAATCATTTTGTGAAACTATTGTATAATGTAGTATTTTATAGTCTTAGATTAATTGATCAAGGTCCCAGATAATAGAGACCATTGAGGAAAGAGCAAATTCACCAATACCATTGGAACAGTTGAATATAAAAATTTAAAAAAAAATGAAAAAGTTTCTTATTCTAAACCAAGTATTGTATAAAAATGAGAAAAAAAAAGTGTGTTACAGCTTTTTAAAAAAACTGTAAAACTTTAAATTTTGGGAAAAATATAAATATTATTATTTCCTCTGAGTAGAGAAAGTTTTATTTTTTTAAAAAAAGAGAACTTTAAATGTTTCCAATATTTGGCAATATTAAAACAGAACCTTAATGTTCATCAGAAAACACTATTCAAATTAGTGAGAAGACAAGCCACAAACAGAGTATTTGGAGCACATAACTAACAAAGGATTACTTCTGGAGTAAATATATAACTCCTAAAAATCAATAAGAACAGACAAATAGAAAGTTTATAAAAGCCCTAAGTAAGCATCTTATAGAACAAAATGAAAGACCAATAAAATATTGCAATGATGCTTGATCCTATTAATAATTAAGAAAATGAAAATAAAAACTATAAAAGATACCAGTTTATATTCCCCATGTAGACAAAAATGAGAAAGCCCACATTAATGAGGACATGGAGTGATGGGAACTCTTTATACAATGCTGGTGGGATTACAAATCAGTGCAACCACATGGGAAAACTATTTGAAATTATCTAGTAGAGTTGGAGATGTTCATATTGTATGAGTTATCAATTTCATTCCAGACACTTTGGCATATGTTTACCAGAAGTCTTTATAGAAGAATGTTCACTGTAGTTTTTTTTTTTTTTTTTTCTTTTTATAATGGCAAACTTGAAAATAATATAGATATCCATTTAAAAGCAATGGATAAATAAACTGTAGTTTTCATATAGTGTAGTACTTTAGTGAGAACAAAAGTGATAAGCATTAACCAATATGAACTTCATAAGTATAATAGTATAATAAAGACCAATTAAGAAAAATTATAAACAGTGAAATAATATATGGAAAGTGAAAAGCAAAAAAATCATGAACATGAAATTTAGGATATTGGACACTTCTGACAGTAGGTAGCAGTATGGGATCTACTCTTTAACCTGGATGGTGGCACTTTGCTAACATTCTTTATACAATCCATTTGTATAATTTATTATGAAATATATATCAGAAAAAGCACAACCAAACAAAAATGTACAGCCTCTGAATTGTCACAAAGCAAACACCTGCCTAGCCACCATACAGATCAAGAAATAAAATATGCTAACAACCTAAAAACTATATCCTTTCTGTTCTCCAAATGTAATGACTATCCTTATAGTTTTATTAGGGAATCCTGGTGGCACAGTGGTTAAGTGTTTGGCTTATAACTGAAAGTTGGTGGTTCTAACCCATCAGTAGCTCTAAAGGATAAAAGACAATCTACTCCTATAAATATTACACCTTAAGAAACCATGTGGAGCAGTTCTCCTTTTTCACATGGGGTTGCTTTGAGTTGAAATCAAGTCAATAGCACAAAGCAATAATAGTTTGATTATCTATACATGCATCTTTATCTCTATTGTTTGTTTTCTGTTTTTTTTTATTTTATTTTGATATAAATTAAATCATAGAGAATTATTTCTTTTGTGTCTACCTTCTTTTATGAACATTATCTTTGTTAGATTCATACATATTGTTGCATGTTGCTATAAATTTTCGTTGTTACTATTATGTATTGCTATATTGCTATATTGCAATTTTTTTAATCCATTCTATTATTGATGGACTTTTTCTAGTTTAATATAATTATGATTATAAATATAGTTCCAAAAAAAACCCCCAAACTCACTGCTGTAGAGTTGTTTCAGACTCATAGAGACCTTTCCTTGAGTTTCCAAGATGGAAAATCTTTACGGAAGTAGATTGCCCAGTCTTTCTTCCATGGAGTTGCTGGTGAGTTTGAACCACCAACCTTCTGGTTGGCAGTCAAATGCCTTAGGCACTACGCCACCAGAGCTCCCATAGTTAATGTTGCACTGTAGTTTTTTCCATGTTTCTTGGTACATACATTTACATATTTCCATTGTATACATAGATAATTCCAAAGAGTCCAAATAAGTGGTTTATATACTATTGTGTATTTATTAAACATTACACAATAAAATAATGTAAAAATCTTTCTTTGCTAAATTAATATGCAATGGTATTATATTAATTTTACTTTGATTACTAATTTTTTCACCCTTTAATTTAAATATTATTATTTGCTAATTCCTATTCTTTGTCCATTTTTCAATCTGAATGATACTTTTTTATTAGTAATTTATACAAATTACTTATTTAGTAATTATTTTAATACTTTTACTATCTTATTGTCGGACAAGTTTGTTTCCCCCATTTTATTCTCCATGTTTTAAATTTTTTAAAAAATTTTAATAGTGTATTTTTAAAATTTTTTAATGATTTGAAATAAAATATATTATCACAGCAAAAAATTTTTGAGCTCTATGTCCCTCTCCAAAATCCCAAAATCCCATCAAGTGTAAATAAAGATAATTTCAATTCAATGCTTTCCAATTAACTGTAAATTTTTGCTGCATGTACTTGTGACCTTCTACACACACCCACACGTGCACACACATATATACACACATATGTATGTGTGTGTTAGTGTGGAAAAATATCTATATATTCAGACACATATAGTTGTGCAAAAAGATTATTTTTTTCTATTTAACAGAACATCTTTTCCTTCTAATAAAAATGGCTTTACACCATCATTTTTACATATGGCTTTCCATTGTTTAAATATACTAATCATTCATTCAGCAATGAATGATTTGTATTTATTGAGCACCTGATAATGCTGTGGGTGTCCCTGGATGGCACAAACAGTTAAAAGCTCAACTACTAGCCCACCAAAGTACACTAAGTCAAACCCACTGCGATCAAGTTGATTCCAACTCATGGAGACCTATAGGACAGTATAGAACTCTGCCTAGGTCCATAGAGACCTACAGGACAAAGTAGAACTCTCCCCATAGGACAGTAATCATTATAGAAGATTACAAGGCTGTAGTCTTTACAGAAGGAAACAAACTTTCTCCCACTACTAACCCATGTTGTTGTTGTTGTTATGTGCCGTCAAGTCGGACCTGACTCATAGCGCCCCCTCCTTGGGTTTCCGAGGCAGTATCACTATGGAAGTAGATTGCCCCATCTTCCTTCTGAGGAGTGACTGGTGGATTACCTCAAAAGAAAGGCCTGACAATTTGTTTCTGAAAGGACTTGAAAACCCTAGAAGTGCAGTTCTGCTCTGTAGCACATGGGGTTGCCATGAGTCAGAATTGAGTTGATGGCAACCCATTTGGGTTTTGCTGTATAGCAGTACTATTTTGTAGGAATTGGGAATAGAGCAATGCACAAAACACTCAAATTTCCTGCCAAAGTGGAATACTCGAGGTGAAAAACCAAAAAAATAAATAAAATAAACTCATTGCTATGGAGTTGATCCCAACACATAGCAACCCCTCCTTGGCTTTCTGAGGTGGTATCTCTGTGGAAATAGATTGCCCAGTCTTCCTTCTGAGGAGTGACTGGTGGATTTGATCCACCAGCCTTCTGGCTAACAGTCAAATGCCTTAGGTACTATGCTACCAGAGTGTATAGTAAACAAATTATCATGGCTATATACCAAAAACTAAACACCAAACTCACTGCCATTGAGTCAGATCTGACTCATAGTGTCCTCTCCTTGGGTTTCCAAGGAGGTATCACTATGGAAGTAGATTGCCCACCTTTCTTCTGAGGAGTGGCTGGTGGCCATATAAGGAAGAAAAGAAACAAACAAACAAAAAAGGCAAGGAAGAAGATAATGATAGGTTGAGGGGAAGGGATAGGGTACCTAACGAAGGCCTCATAATATTGAAGTGTGGGAGCCCATTGTGATAATAGTTAGGGAGAAATTATTTTATGTAGAGAAAGAAAAAATGAAAGTCTACTAGATGAGTTTTTATTTAAAAAAAAATGTAATCTAATATTAATTAACATTTAGGTTACTTCCAATTATTTAGAATTGTACACAAATTTGGAGAGGCCATTCCTATTAAAATATTTTCTAAGTTCTTCCAGATCTGATATGTCTATCTTCAAAAGCCTAATTCGTATTTTAGAGGAACAATAAGAAGGACCTTCAGGAAGAAACAAATTTTCAAAGAATATTTAGTCTAGAAGATTCTTATAGATGAGACCAAAGTTTGAAGTAACTTGCCTTAAATTGTATTTCTACTTAATACTTTCCTTTCATGCTACTTTAATATCATGGAAATTCTAAGAAAATTACTTTTTTAAAAAGAATTTTAACAAGTGCATGTTTTAAATCTCCCTTAGGTTGCTGATGCCAAGTCTTTCCCAAGACCTTTTAATGTCTTACCTGTGAAGACAAAATGGAGTGACATTGGCTTTCATATTCTTTTATTTGATCTGGAAAATCTTGTTGAACTTTTGCTGCCAACTCCAATCAGTGATGCTGACTCTTCCAATTCATTCTATGGTAGTGAGATCCTGAGACGAGCCAAGAGCACAGTTGAGAAGAAGACACTGACGCTGAAAAGAAATAAAACTGCTTGTGGTCCTCTCTCAGGGGAGTCACAAACCAAGTCTGTTAGTGAAACCCCTGTCCAAGAAGATAATACTGTCAAATTCCCAGAAGAAAATGATGGCATTAAAAGGCATAAGAAAATGAAGAGCTCCAAAAAGATGCACCCTAAGCCATTAAGAAAAGTTGATGCAAACCTTTTGATAGACACAGCTAAATTGCTCCTGTCTTGCCTTTTGCCATGGGGAGTGGATAAGGAATTAGATAATCTCTGCATTATGCATCTTAATATTTTAAAGCTTCAGGGTCCAATTTCTTTAGGACTTGCTTCAAATGAAGATCATTTCTCATTGATGCTGCCAGGTTGGGATTTATGCAATGCTGATATGAAGAAAGACTATTTAAGAGTAAATTTATTTTCCAGAAAAGTTTTGGACTTATCAAATAAATACACAGCTACTCTTCCAAACCAGGGCGTAACATCAAGAGGACTAGAGAATAATTGTGATTCTTTGCAAGAAACGAATGCTATAGTTTATATATTGAACAGACTATTTTTAGTTAGTAAACTAGTTAACATGCCTTTAGAATTGGCTTGTGGAATTGACAGGTAAGACATACCTAGAAATTTTGACTACTGTTAGTTAGAACACTAAAGAAAAAAAAGAATATCATTTAAAAAAAAGTATCTCTGGCCAGCCAACCAGTCTACTTGTCTTCTCTCTTTCCTTCTCTCTTCCTCCTTTGTTTTTCCCTTCTTTCTTCCCTTTTATCTTCCCTCTCTCCCTCCTTTCTTTCCTTCCTTCCTTCCTAGGCTTTACAGAATGGTGTGCAAATATGATTGAATCACTGTACTTGCCTTGATAGTGCCTGGGGAGAATTTTTGGCAGATGTTAACATATTAGTATTCCTAAGTTTATAGGAGCTCTGGTAGCATAGTGGCTAAAGCACTTGACTGCTAACCAGAAGGCTGGCGGTTCAACCCACCAGCCACTCCTCAGAAGGAAGGTTGGGCAATCCTACTTCCATAGTGATACTGCCTCGGAAAGCCGAGGAGGGGTCGCTATGAGTCAGGGCCGACTCGACGGCACATAACAACAACAACAACAAGTTTATGGCATTAGCTGGAATCTAAAGCAGCAAGGCCCCTCATTTAAAAGTGTGTCACAAAATAATTCTAGAAAACTATTATTGCCAGTTTGATTGGGATTAAGGTTTTTGGTGGGAGCAAAGTGGGGAAATAAGATTTAAAGAAGACATTAATATGGAAGATATTGCTGAAAAGAGGGTATTCAATTCTTAAATGTGTTCAGGTAGTCATGTACCCAAATCTCTGATTTATTTTCTTAAATAATGTTCATACTTCTTTAATAATATCATTTAAATTTTTTTCAACAGTTCCTTCAAAGGAATGGAATCTGTCCATAATAAGGTGAAAAATCCTGGGAATGATGTTTTGAATATTTCAAGCTTCTATGGTTACTTACGAAATGGTAAGGAATAGAGTTACAGGCACAGATATGATCTTAATTTTTTTTTTTGTAGAGTGTAAAAGAACTAGTCTTTATATAACAGGATCTCACTCTACAGTTTAGAATGATGAGTATGTTTACTATTTGATTTAGTATGTATTCATCTCATTTTAGGCTTATATTGTGCCTATATTTAGATACTTATGAATATTTTTATTAAAATAAATAAAGTATGAGACACGTAATGTGATGGATTCATCAAATGATCTTTGAAATGCCTTAAATCTGGAAACTTTCCAACAAAGGAAATGCTTGGATATTAAATTAAGTCATCTGTGATTTAGTGGGAAGTTTATAGCATCAAGATCTTTATATCAAATACATGATTATTAGAGGATTTTAGAGATATTTCAGAATGTTATATGGTAGTCCTTTAACTCTTCTGAGTAAAATTTGGTGTTTAGATTTTCTTTTGAGGCCAAATGACTAATCCATCCCTCCAACCTGCTCTTCCTAGTCTTCATTGTCTAAGTAATTGACAGTTGTATCTTTCCAGGTGCTTAACCAATGGCTTTAGTTTTTTGATTTTTCTCTCATATCCCACATCCAATCTTTTAAAAATCATCTTAGTTCTAACTTCAGAACATATCCCAAACCTGACTGATTCTCACCAGTGACAGGTCCACCACCCTGGTGTGAGCCACCATCCTTGGAAATGACCTCATAGTCTCCTAAACACCTTTCCTAGCTCCTACTCTCTATTGTCCTCCAAGCAGCCAGAGTGACCTATTCACAACTGAGTCAGAACCTCACACTCTTCTGCTTAAGGCCTCCAGTGACTTCCATGTCACTCAGAATAAAAGCCACAGTCCTCACAAGGCCTATGTGATCTGGCTGTTTTTTTCTACATCATCACATACCATGTCTTCCTACTCATCTCCTGCTTCACTCTTTTCAGCTACACTGCCCTATTTATCACTCTTATCCTCACTTGACAGGCAGGTTTTAAAGTTTTGGAACTCTAAAACTCTATTTTCTCTGCTTGAAGTGCTCTTTCCCCAGATATCTGTATGGCAACTTACTCCCACATTCTTAAAGTCTTCCTCAAATGTCACATTGAAATGAAGGTGCTTTTCCTCCTTTCAGCACTCTATCCCCTTCACATAATCTTCTCACTGTCTGGCATACATTTATCATTCTGTCATTTGTCATCTGCCTCCTGCTACTAAAATATAAGCTCCATGATGGTTTGCTTGTATTGCTTTGTTTTGTTTTTATGATAGTTTTATCTACTGTTTTCCTCAGTTGCTAGAACAGTGCCTAGAAGAACTTAAGTAAATA